ACAAGTCTCTGGCCTTCTTCCCGATGAATCTTGGTGAAAGCAGCGCAAGCAGGAGGAAAAGGATCTCAACATAGAATACGGCCCCGGACTTGGACAAGGTCTTTGTTAGGGCAGCCAGTAAATAGAACATACGATCCTTTTTTACAATCTTTTGAAAGAGAGAAAGGTCTACTAGAGAATACCGAGAGTAGTCGTAGTACAGGTCACATTTCATCCATAGTGCAACAAGGTCATTATAGTACCGGGTCATGGTTCTTGACCTCTGTTTTGACTTCTGGATTTTCTTATACATCTCAAAGAGTTAGTCGGAGCTTCCTACATTTGAGTAAGCATCACGAACTGTCATCCAAATGGTACTAGTTGAAGGGAGGAAAATATATGAACTCAATCAAAGTCTCCATGAAGTTGATCAAACACAACTTCCCAAGCTCTGTAAGGTCAGTCTTTGGAGGCTCACGAGTCATACTGCGAGGTGACCGAAGTTCCCGCGTCCTTTGATGAACAAAGGCACTATTTGGGACCATTAGAGAAAGTTTCAGTCATTCGGTTTATGGATTATGATCAAGAGGTTCATGATGACTTCTGGTCCTCCAGTCTGTGGATGGATTGAAATCGGTGTCGACCCTCCAGTGGACTCGAGCACGCCGACGAGAGAAGGCTCGGTGGAGGAGTCCACCATAATTCCAGCTAAGCCAAATGCGATACCAAGGTGTCGAGACAAAGAAGGGTCTCTGATTCAGGACAGAAAAAGAAGATTCCACGGCTGAACCGTACTTTGTTTTGCAGTTAGGAAAAAACTAGGTTTGTTGGAGAGAATCCAGGTTAGCAGAAGAGAATCTGATGGCTAGAATCACCCTCAAGACAGTTCATCGGTCTTTCTGCAAAGAGACAGCGCTGGTAGAAGGCCTGTAGCAAGGCTTGCAGTGAGAATGGTGCAAAGTTGGGCGGAAGAAACCTTGCAGAGAAGGAACTGCAGGTTTGAGGCTCTAGGGTTAGAACTATGTTTCTGATATCATGTTGAGATTTGGAATAGTGTAACATAAATTATTGATAAAAGAAGTGCTTTTTAAACTCAATTACAATAAAAACAACAAAAGAAAGCAATAAAACAAAATAATAAAAAATGGGAAAGAAAGAATAAAACAAATAGAAAATATATGATCAGGGAATAAAAGCTAATAATAAGTAATAATGTCTAGGGATTGTATTTGAAAACTAATAGAGATTATATTGCAGTGAATCTAGTAGGGTAATAGCAGACTCAGTTGATATTCAGCCATATTTGACTTATGATGAGGAGATAAAAGGATCTTGGATTATAATGTGAAGAAGTTGTGAAATAGAAAGTTCCGTTTTGTGAAAATTTTATGGAAGCAGGAGTCAGGGAAGAATGCTACTTAGGAGAATGTCTCTAAGATGCAAGAAAAATCCTTAGCTTTTTTTTAGGTATGTTTAATTTCATGATTATTTTCAAATTTTATGGATGAAGATTTTTTAGGGAAGATTGTAAACTGAATTTCAAATAAAAGAATAAAAGAATAAGAATAATAATAATAAAAATAAAGGAGTGTAGGCGGTTGGAGGAGACACACCCCCTCAGAGGAATCTTATTGCATAACTCTTTCATCGTTTCTCATACGAAACAGATAAGCGAACGAAGGGGAGAGCGGAAAGATCGAGGAGGGAAACCTCTCCTATGTGCGTGGAAAGAAGTTGAGCAGCTTGGCACGGTGCTCGCGAAGGAAGCGAAGAAGAGGAAGGAGGAAGAAGGAGAAGGAGAGGAAGAAGCAGAAAGAAAAAACCTTTGTGCAGTGCTCGAGTGTAGAGATCGAAGGAGAAAATCTTTGACATCGAGCACCTTTTGCAGGAAGGAAGCGACGGGTGCTTGTGGCGGGTCAAGTCTAGACCGAAGAGAATGAAGAAGGTTTGTTGTGTTGTCTTCACATGCAGAAGAGGGAAGACGTGGCTTTGGCACTGTAGAGTCGTGATCAAAAACTTAAAGAAAGAGGAAGAACGAGCAGCTCTATTGAAGGGAGAAGAAGCTCAAAAGCAACGTGAAGTGAGGAGCAGAAGCCTCGCATGCTTTGTTTGGGTGAGAAGAGACCGAAGAAAGAAGGGCTTGAGGAGCCTAACACTATGGAGGAAAAAATATTACATCAAGACTCCGCATGTACAATAACGTGCGAAGTCCAATGAAATCACGTCAGGGGGGGAGATTCCCTCCGTGTTATTCAGGTGTTATTATATATTATTCATGTGTTATTGTGTCCTAGGAATATTCCTAGTGTTATAATAACACAATAACACATAATAACACATGAATAACACACAATAACACATGAATAGCACGGGGAAGAATATTCCCCGTGTTACTGCGCCGTTTTTTTCTCTGACGGGAATATTCCCCGTGTTATTCAAATGTTATTGTGTGTTATTCATGTGTTATTGTGTCCTGAGAATATTCTTGGTGTTATAATAATAAAATAACACATCAATAACACATGAATAACACGCAATAACACATGAATAACACGTAATAACATATGAATAACACGAGGGGAATATTCTTCGTGTTACTGCGCCGTTTTTTTTTCTATCGTGCGGGGTATCGTGGCGTGATTTTATTGGCTACACACGTTATTTCAACGTGCGTAGTACTGATGTAATATTTTTTCAAGGGTTTGTGGGGGGGGAAGCTCGCGTGGTCGAGTGTCAGGTTAGGGCAAGGCCGAACAATTTAAGATAAGGTGAAGTGTTATATTTAATTGAGTTAATTAATATATTATTTTATATGTGTTTATGTGATTATGAGTTTAATTAAATAATTGTTAACAAAAAGTTAATTGAATTAGGATTAAAGTTATTTAAATTCCGAATTTTAAGGGAGTAACACAAATTTCATGTGAGGGAAAAGGAAAATTGTAAGGCACCCAAAAAATTTTAAGGTATGTTAGATTTTCATTAAATTAGTTAATGAATTTATTTTGTTTGTTATTTATATAATGTTAACAATATGATTTGAAACAGGGATTTAATAAAGTTTGATTCAAAAATTAGGTCCATGAATTATGGATTTTAAGGAGCAAGCAAGAGATAAGTTGAGGTAATTGTTTATATTTTTATTTATATACATATTTTAATAACATGAGTTAGATATTAATTTTATGAGTAGAATTCAGAAGAATATTTGATTCAAGGATGTATATTTAAAGTGGAGAGTTCTTAATTAAGGTATGCGCTTTCAAGTAATACAAGTGGTTGTCTAAAGAGGTAAAGTGAAGGTTTAAGCTATTTCAAAGTTCTCTTGAAAGCAAAGTGGATGATTATTTTCTTTATGCATTAAATTAATGTTTGATTAAATGAATAATTACTTTATTAAATGATTCAAAACAAATATTTCATTCATGTATCGTATTTTGAAAGTTTGAAACAGTGTCACAAATTGGAGAAAAATAATGGACATATGAATGTATGTTTTAAAGGGTTTTAAATTAATATGAAATGAAATGAAATGTAAATGTAAATCTTAAGTCATACAGAATTACCACCAAATGGTACTAGCAGGAGATGTGATATACCTGTGCAAGTTAAGGAAATGGTAAAGGTGTACCTTCGAGTGCAAATTGAGGTACATAGGAGCACATTATGAGGGTATCTTCGAGGACTTTTTTAGAATATATTTGGATATAACGATAATTCAGTTATGATAATTAAAGAAGTTAAAATAGTAAATACTTAAAGTAAAATAAGAAGGGATAAAATTAAAGTGAAATTCAATGTTTTGTAAAGTAATAAGTTGTATTTTCTTTCGGTCATTTATGCATAGCATATGCATCATTGTTTAATACATATAAAGATTATAAACAGTTGAAATTAATGTTTTCTTTCAGGAGAAAAAAAATTTAGTTTGATATGTCTGGTATGAGTGATTTTGTTTAAAAGAGAAAGACTACAGTTGATAAGTATTAGTTATGATGTGTTGTAGTTTTTTTTTTACTGTTTCCTGTAGATTTAATATACTGTTCAGTACTGGCTGATGTATAGTTTTCAGATCATTTTTGTTGTTTTTGGATGTTTAATTTTATTATACTTTGTGGATTAGTGGCACTTTTATATATTGAAAGTTTCTGAAAAATTTTATGGAAAGTAAAATGAAATGTTAATATTGTCTGACTGCAGTTTCCGCCTTTCAACCCTGCAACAACCCCAACGCCTCCCTTCCAACAACTAGTTGTTATCTTCCTTACTGAAGCCGCTGTCTTCCCCGACTACCACCTTCCTCCTACCCCGGTGTCGCCCACTTTCCAGCTATCTTACAGTCGGTTGCTACCTTTCCTTCAGCAACCGTTGTCTTTCATGCAGCAACCATCATCTTCCCTGCAATCGCAGCCTTCCCTTGTTGCCTTTCAACTATCCAACCCTCCATACTTGCTATTTCTACTTAAACCGCAGCACCATCACCCTCGATCTAAGCCTCGGTTGAGTTTGTGTTGTGGTTTGTTATTTCCTATTTTCGCGTGTCTTTGGTTGAAATCTCAATTTGAATTAAGTGATAAAAGTTGCAATTTTGTTGTCATTTGGGTTAACTCCAGCATCACCTGAGCTGCGGTTCATAGAACTAAGTGTTGGGAGAACTTGACTGGAAGTGGAGAAAAAAATTGAAGATGCTCAACAAAACTGCAGCAGCAATTGGTGGCCAGCCATAAAAGATATAACACATGTTGACTTCATGAAGTTGAAGGTACAAAAAAAAAACATCACGGCATAGTTAACGCCATTGAAAAAATACCCAATGCTGAAAAAGACGGAAGCAACGTGTCAGCAGATAACTTAATCAGATGTTTAATTATAAAAAAAATAAATAAAAGGTTTATTTAAAAATATGGTTATTAATTTAGCAAGGCAGCATTCACATATATGGTATTTAGGTTCCAAAAATAAATAAATAAATAAATCTGTAGTTAAGTTAAGCCTCTGTAAAAAATGAAAGCCAAACTTACCTATAATACCAAAGGTGTAGGAAGCATCTGCATCAATGTCAGGGGGTGTGTCAAACCAGAATTCTCGAGCAGAACTTCCCGCTCCAATCTTATAATAATACCTGGTGTTATACTGTCATAAAAACATCGAAGTCCTGAGAATTAAAATACCCGTTGATTTATGCTATCTTAGTAGTGTACAAAAAATTCAGCAAAAAATTGGGAGCTGAAATTTTTTCATTAGAAAAGTCATGCTCATGGCCAGATATATTGCTTTATCAATATGTCTACATTTCTTTGGGTGCAAAAGAGCCATAAGAAACCTAAAACCAGAAGGATCAATTAGACATATACCGCAGAATTATTATGTATTTACATATCTAACACCTACACTTTCATATTTACATGCATAACATTCTAATATTTAATATCACATCAAAGACACCACTACTACTACCTTCTTAAGAGTAAAGTGCATATTTTCATGACACCAAAGTGTTACAAATGTAAATATCAAACTTTAGGTGTTAGAAATGTAAATACAAAGGAATTGTGTGGTATGTACATAAATTTCCCACACCATAAATGGAAACATCAATAAGACAATAGTCTAAGTAATCATTGAATGCATGCTGATAGCAAGTTGCAAGCACCCACTATAAGAATATCGAACTTCTGAAGCTACACGATAGAACAATTTATTAACTGCAATGCAATGTCTTTGAAAAGACGGGTGTCAACAACCAAAAACCATAATGTCAACAGACTATTTGTTACGGCAAGTAATTGCAGATGTAATTAAGTTTCACAGTTAATGACAATGAAATATGACATTAAACTATATAGCATACTTCAGAAAATATGTGCATTCTATCCAAAAAGCAACAAAAAAATTTATATCATCAATCCAAGCTCAAGGCAACAAAGCAACATATATCTGGACATAGATCAAAATCATATTTTCCCTGTAAATGCAATGGCAAATCTGTAAGAGAATACCTCAAGTCCACTAAGAAGGCAGTGGTGAATGTACCCAGATTTGTAATTGTAGAAAGTATAGTTTCTAAGCGTTCCCTGAGCACTAAGATTATATTTATTTTCAGATTTGCCAAAGAGCACTTCACTAGACCCAGGCTCGATCATGTTCACCCATGAAACTATGACAGCTTTCCCCTCATAATCGCCTTGAGTGATATGAACCTGAAGGGAAAATAAAGTAGGAAAAGCAAAAAATCCGTTACAAGACTTAAAAATCACAAATACAGAACTTAACAATAAGATAATTAGAAAAATTAAAACATAAATTAACTGAAATTATAAAATAGGGGGGTATCGCCATAAGAAATATCCTAAAAATGCAATTAAACAATCAGAAGAAAGTTTGAGATGGAGAGGAGCAATTAAATCATCAATCAATGGTTGAAAAAATAACAGGTTGGAGGATGCAGAAAACTACTTGACAGTATTTTGCAATTATAAATGTAAACAATATTTTGGTTTATAAAAAAAAAATGAATATCTGAGATGTTGCGGTATTCTTTTACCAAAGAATTTATGAAAACAACTGACAGTTTAGATGGCCTGCTCATGATTATTCAATTTTGCTTTCAATAGAAGTCTTGAAACACGGACTATTTAGATACATGAGGCTTGTTTACTACAAATAAAATGTAATAATTCATAAAGTATACCCTAAGTAGCAGAAAAAATTTGCATACGATAGACGTACGCAGCGCTGCGTACGATTTTGAGGTTATACCGAGGGTATAAGGGGATTATATCCACGGTATAACCTCTTGTAACCTCCATGTAACCTTCTGTAACTTACCTGAAACCTACTAATAAATTCTTAATATATGATAACAGAAGCGCGGAACTTATTGTAGGTTACAAGTAGGTTACAGAATGTTACATGGAGGTTACAAAGGGTTATACTGTGGATATAACCCACTTATACGCTCGGTATAATCTCAAAATCGTACGCAGCGCTGCGTACGTCTATCTTACGCAATTTTTTTCCCTAAGTAGCAGGCTAAGTTCAATTAAGATGACATCTAGAAGATAAAAAGGAGGCGAAAAAATGTAGATGCCTAAAATCTCCCAACCTTCTAGAACAATGGTTGTTCTCAAATAAGGAAAGGTCGGGTGATAAAATGAAGAAGTGTCGCGGGAGTATTACGGGATAAGAAAATACTCGTGCAAACGTAAAAGTGAATTTTACAAAAATGCAATTATGCCAACTATATTGTAAGGATCTGAGCCTTTAGAGAAAAATAATCACTAATAGGCAATTTGAGAATGATGGAAATGAAAATGTTAAATTTCTATAAGGCGAAACTATGAAAGTAGAATGGTTGAGCCTAAACTTAAGCGGTTTAGGCATGTTAATAAAAGGTGGGGAATGCACCAATAAGATAGGCAAATAAAATTAATAACTATTGAATCCAAAAATGTCTGTGAATCACCCATAATATATAGGGTGTCATTAACTCAGCAAAGCTCCAATTCTCACATTGGATGTATCACACTCTACCTCGAATACTTAATTGCAATATGGGAGTGCTAGACTGGGGGCTTGAGTCACATCCCTTTAAAGCATCAAAGCTAGTTTGAGCATCATATGACCAAACAAATTAATTAGCCTTGAGAAACTCTGTCAAAGGTGTTGCAATCGAGCATAAATTCCTGATAAATTTTATGTAAAAAGAAGTCAATATGGGAGTGCTAGAATGAGGGCTTGAGTCACATCCCTTTAAAGCATCAAAGCTAGTTTTAGCATCATCTGACCAAACAAATTAATTAGCCTTGAGAAACTCTGTCAAAGGTGTTGCAATTGAGCAGAAATTCCTGATAAATTTTCTGTAAAAAGAAGTCAAACTATAGAACTGACATACCTGGATAAATGATTGGGGTATGGGCTAGGACACAATAGCATAGATCTTCATTGAGTCCATATCAATGCTAACAGCTAAAACAATGTATCCCAAAAAGCATGTCTGCAGTATAAAAAAATAACACTTCTTTGGATGATTGTACAACTGCATTTTTTCAAGAACCACAAAATATCACAAATGCAGCAAGTACTCCTCTAAATTGATGTACACCATGATGCCATCAAAATACACAATCATAAATTTTTCAATGAAACTCAAAAAACCCAATTCACCAGCGACATGAAAGTACTTGGGCCATTGGACAAGCTAAAGGGCATGCCTGTCCACAACGATCCATCTCCTATTTTGTAGGCCCTCTTCCACTCATCCTCTGGTCTCAACTTGATCTGGAGACATCCACTGTGCAAGTCAATCTTGGAAAAGATGCGGTTCCATGCAACTGATCAAGCAAATAGTGTAGTCTAGTATGTTGCGACCATCCTTTTAGACACAATCAAAGCTGGCACAGCACATTGATTGGTACTCTCACGAATTATTCCTCATATCATCAGATCCTCAACCTGCTTCTATAGCTCCTCATACTATTGGTCGTATCCTATAGATTTATTAGAATATTTTAATGGCTAGTAATAGCCATTATTTAGTTCTGATTATTCTGATTTATTTCCTTTCTTTTTCTATTATATTTAGTTTTATTTATTTCCATTTCTATTATATCCTAAGTTCAATTTTTTCCCCTCTAGTTGATCCTATAATGGGTATAAATACCGTTTTTGTATCAATAAAAAGTATCTTGGGTTATACTCTAACATGGTATCAGAGTCATGCCCTAACCTAGTTGTCGGGTTCTCCCTGCAGCCGGCTATATCTACATCCAAGTTCTTGCAGCCGACTAGGTCTGCCCTTCCCTAATCTCGGCTCCAGGATCCCACCTCCTGGACCTCGTCTCCAACTTCTGCCAAAGTCCAAGAATTTGAAGGATTCTCACCTCCAAAGCTGGTTCCTGTCTCAAAATGTGGCCAAGAATCCCAGACAGTTGTTGTTTGTGTTGTTGTATCAAGACAAAATTCTGCTTGAATTCTGCCAGGTTCCAGCTTCTGCTAGCTTTTTCTCTGCCAATATTATGTCAGATTCCATGTTGTATTAATACAAAAGTCAGTCAGATTCTAGCTTCAGATTTCTTCCAGCAAATTTGATCTGTCGGAAACTTCGTCACCAGCCAGAAGATCTTATCCTCCCAAGGCCATTATCCTTCCCTCTAGCAATCGGAACCCTACGATGTCTTAACAACCTGACATCACATTTGGCTCAATCAGAACCACTACAGACTACTCCAACACTAAGCCATCATCAGAAGGTGTTTTTCATACCACCAGAGGATCAATTCCAACCTTCGTTTCTCTATAGATCGAAGAGCAAGAAAACAACATTAACATCTTGATCACTACTCGTAAACCAAACGACAACAACATTCTCTAATATTCTCAATCTGAATCTTTATTCATTAAAGGGTGTGGGAAATTTGGTCATCTCACTGGTATTATTCGTAAACCTGCAAAGATGGACCCAGTGTATAGAGCTTGAGAAGTGAAGAATTTTATGGTCACGTCGTAGCTGATCAACTCTATGGAGACTTCGATTAGCCGATCATATATATTCCTCCTTCCACCAATCCCCTCTGGACAGCAGTCCATGATACCTACTCGAATGTGGGGAATTCCAGCCAACTTTATAAGGTATCTAAGAAAATCCATTAGGCAAAACAAATATCTAAGACCGTGACCCACCACTATAATGATCTAGTTGCATTATAGATGAAATGCTGCTTATATTATAACTAAAATTGAGAATTTACGACCAACCTGACTCTTTTTAAAAAAATTATAGAAAATGATCACATCTTCCAATTTCTAGCAGGCCTCAACAAAGATCTTGATGAAGTTTGGTGTCGTACCCTCGGTCAAGATCCTTTTCCTTATACTTGCATTGCTTTCACTGAGATTCATCGCGAAGAGTTAAAGAGTTGTAATGCCCGATACTTTCACTCCGTCTGTCGAAGCATCCACCTTGGTTTAATAGTACTCAGCCCAAGGCTGGTCAATCCATTTGTGATTTCTGTCACAAACTCAATCACACTCGTGATAAGTGTTGGAAGTTCCACGGGAAACCAACTTCCAAACTTTTGACGAAATCTTCCACTGTCAAGGGTCTCATCACAACACCTGAATCCTACACGGTACAGTCGACCTTTACCCAAAACAATCCAGAATCCTCTAATTCTCTTAAGAGACAAATAAAGCAACTAAGATTCTTAGATCCAACCCACTCTCTTAAGGTTGGTCAACCTCCCACATTCATCAAAATACTAGTCCTATGACACTCACTTCTTTTGTCTCTTCTAGTTCATGGATCATTGATTCAGATGCCACGAATCACACGACTGAAAACTCTCAAACTTGCTCAACAGACTATCCTTTTGTTCGGAAAAAGATACTATTAAAATTGCTGACGGGTCCCAAAGCTCTATTGTGGTAAAAGTTCTGTTGTTTTAACAACAGACCTAACTTTGGAATCTCTGTTACATATACCTCCGCTGAAATATAAAGTTTTATCAGTTAGTAAGCTGACACGTGATAGTGACTGTAATGCTCAATTTTCCTCGGATGGATGTCTTTCAAGATCATTTTTTGGATAGGATGATTGAAACTCCTAAGCGAGTTGGCAGGCTCTACTTCTACCAAGAAAAAAGCAAAGAGAATGAGGACACTCCACCCAGTAGTTGCAGTTTACCTCAGTCCACTGATTATTCTATTATGTTGTTACACTGTCATTTGAGTCATCCTAGTTTCAGTATCTAAAGCAGCTGTATATGTTGATATATACTAATAAAAATCCTTCTAATTTCAAATGTGAAACTTGTTAGTTTGCTAAACATCATCGTGTCTCTTATCCACCCCATAATTACACATCTTACACTCATTTCTCTCTTATTCACAGTGACTTCTGGGAACTCTCTTGCACCCCTAGCTACATCAATATATGGTGGTTTTTTACTTTGATTGATGATTACACTCGAATGACATAGCTATATTTTAAAAGATAAATCTGAAGCTTCTGTCACTTTCAAAAACTTTCATACCTTGATTTTGACCCTACTCAAAACTCTTATTCAAGTCCTTCAGACTGACAATAGTCGTGAATTTTTTAACTCTATATTAAGACAATTCTTGATAAGTAAGGGCATCCTCCATCACAGCTCTTATCCCGACACTCCTCAACAAAATGGGGGTAGCTGAGAGAAAAAAC